GTCAGTGTGTGAAGGTTAGGCCCGATCCTGCATGATCGGCTCTCTCCTCCAGAACCAACCCACAAACTTGCCAATGGGTGGAACTGCCTTACATGGCCTGACCAGCAAATAGGCCAGAATCCCATGCTCACCAGTGGGAGCTATGGCCAACCAAGTGAGTTTCCCAAGTTCCCTACCAGACCCACTCTCAGACCCAGATCTCATAAGTGCCAGTGTGTGCTAGGCCCTTACCTGGTGTAGTTGGCTCCCTCCATCTCAGCCTTTTTATCATCTGGTGGGTGTTGCAGCATAGTGTGTTCCACACCCTGTTCTTGGGTATGCCTATGAGTTCTGCAGTTTGGATCAGCCCATCCTGTACTCAATCCCAGCACCCATGAGTGTTGGAGAGTTCCATGGTCACACCTAGCTTAGGCCATCACCACCCTCAGCTCTTGAGCAAAACAGCAGACAATGCAGTTCCACTGGGGTGAGGAGGCACATATCTATCAGAGACTGCTCCCAAACTCGATTCTTTTGTGTGCTGTTAGTGTCATGGCACAGCCTAACATTATCTGTTCCCTGTTCTCTCACTGCAGGTATTATGATCTAGTCCTGCCAGGCAGTCCCCCAACCCTAGCTTTAGTGTGTGTCAGTGAGTGGTAGTTGGTAGTGGTCAATGCTAACTGGCCTATCTCAGATCTCCAACATGGGCTGGTGCATCAGTCTGACCCTTAAAGTTCCTCCCGTTCCCCATTCCAAACCGTTGGATCTCAGTCCCTTGCTTACCTGCAGGTACAATGACCTTGTCAACAGAAGTCCCTCAGTAGTCATTCCTTACCTCAGTGGCCCTCCCTTCCATGCATCCTCTTACTCACTTCCTTGGGCAATCTGCCCTCCATCTTCTGCTATGGTATTAGATAGATGTACTCTGCAGACCTCAGTGGACTGCCATATCCTCTATGTGCACCTGGGTATACCATTCACTGCTCTCTAAACCACTGAGAATGCTCAGATATTCAAGTACAGTAGCCTTGTCAATGCAAGCCCCTCAGAGGCCATTTCTCACCTGGATGTGAGCCCCATGTCCCTGCATGCCCTCACCTGTGTCATCGCTCAGCCCCCCTACAAACCCCACCTCTAGGCCCACATGAATGTGCTGTAGCACTGTTCCTGGACCGTGTCAGGACTCACCAACTTAGCTCCCACTGCGCACAAGGGTCGAATGTTCAGGCCAGATGACCCGGGACACTCCCAAACCCCCAGGGCTCATCAGCTCGGCTCTTACCACACATGCTACTGAACCAAAAATGAAGAAATTTAAAGATACTACAGGCAGTTTAAGAAGTTCAAGAAGTTTAAGTTTAAGCTCACTACCTAGTTATAAATTCAAAGTTACAGTCTATATTTTATCAAACTAAATTACAGTGAATCCCCTATTAGCTAATAAAAAGTCATAAAATCAAAAATAAATCATATTCTAAGGATAAAATACCAGTCACTATCGCAGGAATATGTTTACTATCATATTCAGGCTGTGTTGCCCAGCCTGAATAATTTCTCTTTTAAACAACGGATGATTGTGTTGTAATTTTTCGTTATTGCTCAGTAATATATCATTCTGTTTGTTAATTTAATACTTTGACTTCAGTAATGTTAACACAAAGCCATAACTAATGTTAAAAATAAGAAAAAGAGAACGAAATACTATACCTATCCATATTATCCAGTGCATGAAAAATGTCATTATTCTTAACTAAAAAATCCACTGTGTTCTCTCTTTTTGCACAGATAGCAACTAAAAGTGGTGTGAGGTCATCCTGTAAAACAATAAATAATTCACAGTATTACACATTTCTCAACTGAACCAAAAACATTTCAAATGACCTCACAAACTTAGCATACAGTCTAGAAAGCAAATTAAAGGAAGTTCTTCCTTTTCAACCCTGTGCTGTCACATGTGCTATGGTTTCTTATGGGGACTTCCATCTTAGTTGCCGTACCACATGAAATCCAGCAATCTCTGAATTTGAACATTTATTTGTTCCAATATTCTTGTTTTCTATTAAATTACTCTTCATGGTATGTTATAATTACTTGACTGCTTCCTATTCAAACCAAGGACTTCTTGAGGACAAAGATTCTGTCTTTACCTATGCAGCCCCTAAGACACAAAAACCCTAAGGCTTCAAGTGTTGTTGTTAAGCTGATGACATAAATTATTATATCTAGTAATGTGTCTCAATATATATATTTTCACAAATAGTTACTTATGCACAGATTATGGACTGTGCTTCAAAAGAAGGATCCCATGGCCACTTAAGTTTCAGAAAGATTACAAAATTATGCATTATGTGTTACTCAGGTGCAGACAATAGCAATCTGAAGGACACCTGCCTGGTCTGGGAGACAGCTGGTGCAGGGCATACACTTAGTAATAAGAGCTGTTCAAGTGGGATGGTGTGTGATGTATCAGGTGAAGCTGCTACTTGCGATGCCAGCATCCCAGATAGGTACCAATTGTATCCTGGCTGCTGTGGCCTCTGCTACCTACCTGGGGAACCTGGAAGAAGCCCCGGCTCCTGGCCCAGTGCCAGCTATTGCAGCCATCTAGGGAGTAAATCACTGTATGGAAGATCTGTGTGTCAGATAAATAATATTTTCTTTAAAAGAGAGAGAGTTCAAGTGATACAGATTTGATTCTTTAAGAAAATCCTGAAATTAAGATTTCTACCTAGTTCTAAATTTTACACATTGACACAATTCATTAAAGCAAATTACAAACACCTTAGGGCTGCATTCAATATGTTCTCTATATGGGTACCTAAATGTTCTTATATCAGCTGGGATGTATTTTACAAATGGTTTTGTATAAGGCAGATATCGGCCTGTAAGACCTCTGCTTTCTTTAGTATCATCTGTTTTACTAGAAAACCAGGCCCAACATGTCATAAAAAGCATTAATAATATCTATTTAACAATTTTCTAACGTTTTAATTACAACCCGTTGGTACTTAAATCTGTCAGATTATTCATTAACTAGGTATTTAGTTCGGAAGACTGTGAAATCTAAACTATTAGAATTCTCACCTGTATTCTTAGCATCATGGATTTCAGTCTTAAATCTGCCATATGATTAGGTGCCAGGGTTCTACAAGCTTGGCACACATGTGGAGATGGTCTCCACCACACTGCTTCAACATGAAAAAGGCTCATACTTTGCTGCTTTTTCTAATCATGAGACCCTGCTTGTGGTACACCTTTGTCAACCTAAAGACCCAACTGACAACAAAGAGACTGGAAATCTTTCAAGAGTCATAGACAAATTTCTGCAGACCCTTGGAATGGCAGAGAATGACTGATGTTATCCCCTAACAGAGTCATCAGCAGCGTGATCCCTCTTAATTCCAAGGACACAGAGAGAGATAAAAGCCAGGTTAATACTGTGGAAAGGAAAGGATTAGCGAGAGCAGCATCTACCAAACTACAATTTTTATAGATTTCTTAAAGTTGCTGAGATCTGAGAATTTATATATTACACTTTTCCTACCCAGGAATTTATGGTTATCTCAATCTTTTTTTTTTTTTAAAGAAATATACATGTCCACAGATTACACAGTTTACTAAGTGAAAATGGTCATGGATAAATCCAATCTTGTAAGTTTTCTTTAAATTTTGTTGGGTCACTGTGACACACAATCCTGCTGAGCACTAGTGTAGTATAGACCCGCCACTTTGAGGAGATCTCTCTCACATGGCCAGTCTCATTTATCATGTGGGGATTTGAACTAAAAGAGGAATGAATAAGGGACAGACTCATTTGCTGAAAACTCCATTTCAACTTTCTCACTAAGAGTAGATCAAGGATCAGTAAACTCAAAACCCAAATTTATACAATTCTTTTCTCCAACCTCCCCATGAAAACATTCCAGATTTGAGAATTGAATTTAGACTCTCCTATCTAAGCAACTCTTCCTACCACAGTTATGTTTTTCTTACTTCATTTGCCACTTTATTATCACCAGTTCATTCCTTATATGCTTTTCACCAAATCCTAAAATTGATCTCAGTGCAAGTTAAAGTTCAACCTAATTCTGTTTATTCAACTTTAAATTATTATAATCAAAATTGAAGAGCACTTTGTCTAAACATCTAAACTGGAAAAACTAAAACAGACTGAAAAATCATCTTAGTATTTTCCTTCAGTTATCTAATTTCCAAATTTCTGATTGCTTGCTTCTTTTCTCTTTCCAAGTTTCCCTCTTAAAGCCTCGATACTGAGAAATAACAGCATTTCAAATGAATTCATTTCTCCTGGAAATTTATAGTAGCAACTTTTTATATTTTTACTGTATCAAGCTTTTGTCTTGAGTTTTAAACTATAGTCTATTCCTAAGACAAAAGTTGCTTTCCTGCATTGTTTTATACTAATTAGATAAAAATATAGTGGGAAAAGCAGTTTTAAAAAATGGTTTTACCTTTAGCAAATACTGGTCACAAATGCATACAAAGGGTTTGTACCCTCTAATGCATTTGCAAAAAGTATCAGTGTTTAAGGAGAATTCATAATCAATTATCTTAAACTATTTCCATTCAGGAAGTAACTTGCACTTCCAAACATGGAAAACTGATTCTGTTTGTATGGCTAGGTATATTTGCAACCATTTGAAAAAGTGGAATATTCTGCACCTTATTTCTGAGTTTGATATCTGCATTGTGTTGAATAAGCTGCTTTGCTATCCCTGTGTTCTCATTATAGATGGCATAGTGGAGGGCAGTGTTGCCATTCTTGTCCATATGGTTTGGGTCAGCGCCATGCTGTAGCAGGATGATAGCACATTTCTCCTGATTACACTGTGTGGCCTGTCAGTAAACACACCAATGAATACATTGTAAGTGCTAGGAAGTTAAAATAAAAAATACCTTTTTCATGAGTTAATTACATTAAAATGAGAAAAATTTACTTTTATTCTAAACATTTAAACCAAAGCCTTTGCACGCTGGCATGGTTGGCCACGGCGTACCTTCATCAGAGGTGTCATGTCTGCATCGTCAATGGCATCAATCAGGCATTGTCTTCCTATGAGGAAATTGACAACTTCTACATGTCCTTTGGCACAAGCCAGGTGCAGAGCGGTTCTGTGGAAGAGAAAGGACTTGAGAGGGCTTTTAAGGAAATGATACTGTATAATCTTTTTTTCTTTGTATTTGTTTTATTGTTACTACTTTTAATAATTTTACTTAGTTGCTTAGGGTACAAAGGGTCAAGGGCTACAGGAAAGTGGGTAATACCGTTGTTTCCACACTAATATCATTTTTTTTTCCTATATCTGTGGTCAGGGGAGAAACAAAACAAAAAGCCCCACCCAGCCTCCCACCCATCTCAGGTCTCCAATGCGAGGCACACTCCGAGGGTCCTGCTCAAGCAGTTTTGATAGTTCAGCAATTCTGAATTGCTGCCAATCTTGCCATTCCAATCACGATGAAATCTATTCAGAATCTACTGGCTGACATAGTCTCTTCATAGTTGGGGTTTTGAGATCAGCAGTTCAGTTGGAGGGATCTCCATAGAAACTTCATCTGAGGAGATCCCAGACCTGATTCTTGTGTGTATGCACAGGCTGGTTGTTGAAATTGCTGGGTAGTTCTGTTTCCAGCCCTGTCTTCCACATGAACCGATGAGTGCTGTGGTCCAGCCCGACCCTGTCAACTTGGCCCTCACGCAAACCAGTGGAAGCTGCAGCCTAGTTTGGGTGACTCTCCATAACCCCGACCAGGCCTGCTCACTACCCTGGTTCCCATGCTTGCCAGTATGTACTGCAGACTTGTTCAGTCTTTCCCAAATCACATTCAGCGATGTCAATGGGCATTGAAGCCTAGTGCAACTCAACCAACCCTACTATCCAGCCCACACACATACTGGCAGGTGCCTTTCTGTCTAGCCACCTCTGTCCTTGTCCTGGTTTTCATGCTCTCCAGTGGGAGTGGCAACCCAAGAGGGAGGTGCCCACTATCTCCCTACTAGGCCACTCCAACTTCTGGATTGTGCACTCTCCAGGTGGTTTTGGAGTTAAATTTGACAGATTTGTCTCCCAGTGCCAGCCTCTGCCATCTGATGCTGCGGCAAAGCCCAACCAATCTTCATCCACTCTAATTTTTACCTGCACCAGTCGGAACAGTCAGCCCAACCTGGCTCTTCCCTGATCGAGCTCACCTGAGGCGCACAGGCGTTGTTGGCCTGCCTGGTCTGGTTTGCCCTCATTCCAACTCATGCTTTCCAGTGGGAGTGGTTGTCCAGGAAGGGAGCCCACATTCTCCTTGCTGGCTCTGTCCCTCTCCCCTTCCCCCCCGGTTCTCATGTGTGCTGTTTGGGCGCTTCAACCATATCTGGTAAGCTCACCTCACCTTGGCATTCCATAATGTGCACTGGTTTGTGTCGTTACCGAACCTGGCCTGACCCACATTCTATTCTGGTGCTCGGGTTCACCAGCGTATGATGTGAATAGGTTCAGCCTGGTCTGCCCCTCCCTCCCCCATGCCAAATGTATGCCAGCAGGTAGCTTACTCTGGCATGGTCTGGGTTGCTCTCTATCGTGGTTCTTGCGCTCACCTGTAGGGACACTATACCCACAGAGGAGTTTATCAAGCTCCTCCATCAGAACCTCTCCCTATGTCAGATCTTGCACATACTGGTGGTTCCATGGGTCAGCTCTCATTGCTGGCCTTCAGTCTATTTCAGTTCTTGATGTTGGATGTTTCAGCCCAGCCAAGGCTTATCCAAACCCAGACACTGCTCACACATGGCTCAGTAGGGACAGAGACCCAGCCTAGTCCGTCCTATGTCTACCCAGGTTCTCCAGAGCACCAGATGGTGCTGGCATCTAGCCTGGCTTGGTGTGCCCAGGTACAGTTTACACTTGTGCCAAGGGAGATTGCAGTCATATCCAGAGCAGAATGCAGCCCCCTTTCTAGCCCCCGCACTCTCCCATGGAAACCCTAACCCAGCAAAGGGATACTCTCACAACTCCCAGCCGAGTCTATTCCCAGCCATAGATTACGTGCATGCCAGTGGTTACTCTGACCCAGTTGGCTAAGACCTCCACCTGTCTCAACCTTTGCCTTTGATGTTATAGCCTAGATTCCTGGCTTTTGCAGACCAGTTGGTGTAAGAGCCCGGTTCACAGGACATGTGCTCCATCCTGGTTTCTATTCTTTCTTGTGAGTTGAGGGTTGCTTGGTCCTGTCCAGTCTGCCCCTTTCCAGTTGCAGCCCGGGCCACCCCACATCCTATTTTAGGATGCACTTTTGGGTGCAGCTGCCTTGACTTGCCCAGACTGCTATTGGTTCTTTTACCCGTAACTGATGGCAGGTGCCACAGTCACACCTAGCTCAACCCATCACCACCACAGCTCATGAGCTAACTTGTGGGACTTGTATTTCCACAGGGTTGGGCCCACACTTCACCCATAGAGTCTACTCTGGACCGAGTTCTCTTGTGTGCTGGTTAGTGTCTTGAGTGTGACCAGTCTACTATTCGATCACCCAGTCAGGTATTGGTACCTAGCACTGCGAGACAGGCCTCCATTCATAGCTTTGGTGTGGACTGGTGTGTTGCAGTCAGTGATGCTCTATGCTAATAGCCCATCTCAGGATTGCTAATTGGGCTGGTGAATCAGTCAGGCCCAAATAGATCTTATAGATGCTCCCCTCCAAACCGTCAGGTCTCAGTCCCCACGCTTGCCCGAAAGTTTCATGACTCTTGTTACTTGGAATCACCTAGAATACACTAACACTATCCTTATTCATGGGTGTCCATAGGCAGCAATTACATATTCTAAAAACCCCAGAGTTCACCACCGCGCAGCCAGCAGGCACAACCTGGAACCACTTGGTGCACTGGCTGCCCAAAGCCCAGGACTGAAAGGCAGTGGCTTTGGCCTGAGTCCCCAGCATTGGGTCCGGCCTTGCAGGGGCACCCCCCCCCCCAGCCGCCACACTATTGGGAGCTGCTTTTGCCCCCAACCCCAAGGCTTGAAGCCTGATACAGTATAATCTTAAAACAGAAAATTACTCAGGCACATGTAAGCATTAAATAGCCATATATTCCTCTACCTTCAGAAGAAATACTTCTCTGAGGCAAGTACAATATTTATGAATTCTTTACTTACTACACCAACAAAAGAGCAGTGTGTTGAAGAAAAGCATGGTCCTTACATTCAGCACAACTTGTTTCAAACCCACTAAGTTTTGCCCACTGATTAGCTATCATTTAGACTTTCTATGCCTAATTTTCCTCACAAAAAAGGAGAAAAACAGTTTACCACTGTGATAACTAAATGAGAATCTATGCAACAATATTTAGAACACTCCCTGGCACAACTTAAAACTGGTTTCATTGAGTAAAATAATACAATTGCTCTGATGCTGCAGATATACTTGAGGGATTGTAGATTACACTCTACCTTAATGACTCTAAGATACTCATTTCTTCAAATTTTGATATCTCTGGCATGGGGTGTTGTTCATCATAATTCTTGATTATTTCCACTCTAATTGGCAGCATTTGCAAATTCTCTCTTTGATATGTAAAACAGGAGGGGATTACAAAATCCATGGCGCCTTACATCATTTGCGCAATAGTGCATATGATAGTTCTAGCTATATGGCTGGCATTTAACTAAATTTTAGTTCTTCAAAATCCTATGAGAGAGAGAGAGCTGAGATGACAGAAATGCTTGAAAAACCGTGTAATTCTTCAATTTTCAAGACATTACAAGCCAAAAGAAGTTTGAGATTCAAATGATAAGTTATCTTTCATAGTACTCAGTATTTAGAATAAATCAGAGCTTTCCAATGATTAGTATCAGTGTTTGATACTCATACATTTTCCAAAGAGTAGTTGACAGTTGTCTCTTAGAATTGCTTCACTTTAAAAATGCTTTTGTGTGAAATAAGGATGGAAAGGCTTCCATTAAGATTATGTCCTATTCACTTTTAAACTCTTGACTTGGTCAAGCTAGAATGGCAAACAAAGTTGTGAAGGACATAAGGGACATGAGAGAGTATGATTGCTATAAAATATATATTCAGATCATATTTCATGAATGGATTGGATGCATGGATAAATACAATAGAATATTTCAATGTTATTAAAGAAAATTATTAGAACATGAAACATACTTCTGCAATATTAAATATTCGTACTGATTTTTTATATCAGAAGGACGCAACAAGATGAAATCACTAATCTGCAATTGTTGGTATATACATAATACATCTATATGAAGAAAGAATATATTTGAGAAAGGTATGCTTAATGAACCTATAAGCAAAGCTAAAAAGATGCCCTTTACTTTGCAAAAGGCTAAAGGTTGGCAGAATATACCAATGCAGACACATACATACAAATAACAGGAAGTGAAATTATTCTTATCTCTGTAGGATTCATGTTTCCTCCCTTTCCAGAGATTTCTTCATTAATAATACACTTTGCCTAGAGTTTCTACAAATATTCATTGTGGAAACTACAGATAAGAAAATTTCACATGTAATTGAAATACTTCCAAAGTTTGCATGTCTACATACATATGTGTCCATCCCACCTTCAGTGGGGGATATTGAGTCCTGTGTATGCACTCTAATTTATAAAATCCACTACTATAGGTAGTGATGAGAGAAACACATAGTAAGTCTATTTCCAAAAGTTATTTTGGTATACAAGAGTTGAAGTATAGCAAAAACCTGCAATTAACAAGGCAGTGTGATACTTCCTTTCAAGTTTTCTATTGAAAAGGTCATAATCTCAACATTGATGAGCAGATAGATTTAACAGATTCTTCATTCTCAAAAACTGGTTTTTTTTTTTTTAACTTAAACTTCTCTCTTGTCAGGGACACTGAGTACTATTTTATGTTCATGGATCACATATAGATCTGAAAGAAAACTATTTGCTTAATTCTAAGTTCAGGTTTTTTGTTCATTTCAACAAATGCTCTATAAAATGAAGATTTGTTTTTCATTGGAAGTATTTATGCTATCAATATTTGCCAGTGTAATCTGTTTTATTTTGTTATCTTTCCCTTGATACACAAAATAATTTCTATTTTTATAAAAACCTGCAGAATGCTTGCATATATGTTTTTTTTCTTTTTTTTTGTTACCACTTTTTTCATTATATCTAACATTTTTATTTTTTATTTCATCATGATTTTAGTTTTGGGACAGAAAATCTATCTACCTGTCCCCAAGTAAAATATGAATCTTTTTGCAGAAATTATGTTAAAGTTTTTGTCTCATTTTCTAGCAGTTTTTCCACTTAATCCATACTTGCCACTCCTTGACTTCTTTGGCTCCATAAAAGGCATTTCACTTACAAATAATACATGTTTTCCTCATAATAGGAAGTATGATCAGTGTCAAGTTCTAAAAACAGAATCAAGTTCTAAAAGTATTCCTCTATTTTGGTACTTCTGGATTTCCTCTTCAGTTAAATTTATTTGTTGTTTCAACTGTTAGTAAATGGTTAACATTTTTGTTTTAGAATCTTTGTTCACTTGTTACAAGCTAATGACATCATAATAGTAAGTCAAAAATTTTGTCATTTTGCTACACATATTTGGTTTATATAAGAGAGATAAACACTTAAGGGGCTCACGTTTTGACAAAAAAAAAGTCTTCATGTTTAACAACACAAACACATTTTCCATCTTAAATGTTGTTGTCTAAGATCTTCTCAGTCAAGAACATGTTTATACATGAGCACAGGGATGCCAGAGATTTTACCCAACAAGTTTAGGCCTGAAATGATGAATTGTGGACATTCCTTTGTTCATTATGCTTTTCTATTCTGTATACAACAATATAGTTTTGAACACATGTACAATGAAGATAGACTGTATTTTGTTGGTTTTGTCACCTTAAGTGGTTAATGAAATGAAATGCTCACTATGGGAATGAAGTGCAGCTGAGACACCAGCTAAAGTTTGTCTTATTCAGAAAGAAGGCAGAGTAACAAAGAACAGCCCAGGGTCATATGGCTTCATTGCTGGATTCTACTAAACTTTTCAAGAATAACTGATCCCATTTTTCCCCCTCAAACTAAAAAAAATTAAAGAAAGGGAATCCTCCCAAATTCCTTAAGAGTCAACACAACTTAAAACCAGAAAATATAAGAGAAAGAGAGCCAATATCCCTGATGAACATAATATGCAAAAATCTGCAACAAAATATTAGCGAACTGAATCCAACAACATATTGGAAATATCATTCCTCCAGATAAATCAGATTTATCCCTGGCATACAGGGATGGTTCAACATATGTGAGAAAAACCATGGGCAGCAGATATTGAATGGGGAAAACGTTAGAGGGATTTCCACTAAGAGCTGAAACCAGACAGGATGCCTACCTTCACCACTGCTTTTCAAAATAGTCCTGGATGTTCTGGACAGAACCGTTCGGCAAAAAGAAGAAACCAAAGGGATACAATTTGGAAAGGAGGAAGTCAGGCTATTCCTGTTTGCAGGTGACATGATCCTCTATACAGAGGAATCAAAAATCTCTACCAAGACACTAATTTAACTCATAAGGGAGGTTAGTAAAATTGCAGGATAGAAAATTAACACAAAAATCAGTAGCCTGTATATATGTGACAATTGCATGACTGAGAAAGAGCTTGCAAAATCAGTCCCTATTCAAAATAGCTGCACCCCCCAAAAAAAATATCAGACCTTGGAATAAATTTAACTAAGTATGTGAATGATTTCTACACTGCAAATTAGAAAATGTTAAAGAAAGAAATAGAAGACACTGAACATGGATTGTTAGAATTAATATCACCAAAATTTCCACACAACTGAAAATAGTTTACAGATTCAATGTGATCCTAATCAAAATACCTGTAACATTCTTCTCAGATATAGAAAACAACGATAAAACTCATATGGAAACACAAAAGACCCCAAATAGCTGAAGTAATTTTAAACAACAAAAACAACTCTGGAGGCATCACAATAAAAGATTTTAAAATGTACTACAGGGAGGTTGTAATCAAAACAGCATGATACTGGCAGAAAAACAGATCCAAGGATCAATGAAACAAAATAGAAATCCCAGAAATGAACACACGTGATAACAGTGACCTAATTCTTGACAAATGAACCAGAATCAATCCAGGAGAAAGGACAGTTTTCAATAAATAGTGCTGGAGAGCTGGATCTTCATGTACAGAAGTATGCAACAAGACCCCTCCCTTAGACTACACAAAAATCACCCCTTAAGAAGTCAAAGATCTAGTTCTACAACCTGATACCATCAAATTAGTAGAGGAAAATATTTTCCCCACTCTGCAAGATCAAGACAGAAGCAAGACTTCTTGGAGAAGACTCCAGAAGCACAGGCAATCAAAGCCAAAATAAACAACTGGGATTACATCAATCTAGGCTGCTTCTACACTGCAAAGGAAAGCATCGAAAAGTGAAGAGGCAATCAACAGAATGAGAGCAAATATTTGCAATGAATGTAACTGATAGAGGATTAAGTAAGATCCAGGATTTGGGGCTGGTGCAGTGGCACAATAAGCTAATCCTCTGATGGTGGTGTCTTCATCCCTATGGGTGTTGGTTTGTGTCTGGACTGCTCTGCTTTTCAATCCAGCTCCTGCTAACAGCCTGAGAAAGCCACAGAGGATGGCCCTAGGCCTTGAGCCTCTGCATCCACTTGGGAGACCAAGAAGAAGCTCCTGGATACCAGCTTTGTAACAGCCCTGTTCTGGCCATTGCAGTCATTTTTGGAGTGACCCAGCAGATGGAACATTATCACTTTGCTTTTCCCTAACTATGGCTTTCAAGTAAAATAAAAAACAAAATCGTAAAAAATTACCCAGGAGGACTTGTAAAGAGCTCCTGAAACAACAAAACAAATAGTCCAGTTAAGAAACGGGCAAAGGACATGAACTGGCATTTCTCAAATAATGAAACCTAAATGACCAACAAGCAGATAAAAAAAAAATGCTCAAGTTCACTAGACATCAAGGAAATGCAAATGAAAACCACAATGAGGTTTCACCTCATCCCAGTGAGAATGGCTATCACCCAAAACTCAAAAAATAATACAGGTGTGCACAGATGTGGGGGAAAAAGTACGCTAATCTGCTGCTGGTGGGAATGTAAGATCGTGCAACCATCATGCATAACTGTGTGTGCAGATTCTTCAGAAATCTGAAAGCAGATTTGTATGATCCAGTCATCCCACTCCTGGGAATTTACCAAAATGAAATGAAATCAGCGTATGAAAGAATTACTGGTACTTCCATGTTTATAGCAGCTCAATTCAAAGTAGCTGAGATATGGAATCAATCCAGATGTCCCACTGACGACTGATTAAAGAAAATGTGGTATATACACACTATGGAATACTCCTCAGTCGAAAAAAAAAAACCAGAGAGAGAGAATGAAATCATGTCCTTTGCAATACGATGGATGCAACTGGAAACCATTATGTTTACTGAAGTATGGCATTCCCTAAAATACAAATATTATGCCTTCCTAATCTGTGATAATTAACGCACAGGGGACAAGAAGTGTAATGTATAGGCATGAGAGTGACAATATGGCATATGATTATTGTGTACTGACACCCTCAAGGTACAGAAGAGTTTTTGCTTTTCTGTTTGTTTAGGTTTCTTTTTAGAAATTTTGTTGTTCTTTTCTACTTGCAATGTGTTAATGCCATTACCTGATGGCGTGTTAAACCTGTGTAATAAATAAAATAGTGATAGTAATAAAAATAGCAATACTAATAGTAATAATTAAAAGGAGGAAGGTGAGCACTCATTGGTCCCTGTGCCAGGTGCTGATGAGCCTGCCTCGATGCCCAGGCGAGAACCCATCCTGGCAGGACCACCAGGCAGGTGAATGCTTCTCACTGCTGGCCACCACCCAGGAGTTCCTGTTACCTGTTGCTCCTGTCTCTGTCGTTAACTCCGCTTGCCCGCACCTCCAAGAGGTGGCGGATTGTCAGCACGTCCCCCTTGCTGGCCGCTCTGTGGATCTTCCCGAGCTTCTTGTCTCTGGCATGGTACTCGAACTGGGACTTGAGGAGCCGCTGTGTCATCTTGGTCTCCCAAGGGAAAATCTTCCCATGCTCCAACCTAAGGGCTGCTTGCAGCCCCAAATACTACTTCCTGATGGTCTGACCACTAGGACCGCCCACCAAAGCAACCACAGCCCCAAGAGTCTCAGTGGGCGGGGCGCATCTCATGGGGCGGAGTCCTGAGTTGGCTCACAAAGGCCCTCAGCCGGCTCAGAGGACTTGTGTAAGGTCCTGCAGTCCTAAATAGGAGCAAGTGACTGGGGTCTTGGTTGAACTTGGTTGAACAACAACAGAAGACAAAATCAATGAACATCCCATTACTAACATGACAGACCCAAATTAGCACCTATTTTCATTAACCCTGAATGTAAACAGCTTTAATTCATCATTCAAACATCATAGATTAGTAGACTGGATTTAAAAACAAAACCCACCTATTTGTTACCCACAGCAGATACATTTCACCAACAAAGATCAGTGGAAATGTATCTCATGGATTCTGATTTTTCTGTTAGTTTCATCTTTTCAAAATAATTTCTTCTGATTAAATTCTTCAGTGACTCATAGATCATAGGGTACCATCATTTTCTTCAAGAAGATTCTTTCTTTTTCATTTCTTCAGCAACACCTTAGTCATTCAGTAGCATGTTGTTTAACTTCTTGATATTAATTTCTTTTTTTTTTTTATTCCTGTTGTTGGTTTTGTTTTGTGGCTTTTCATTTAAAGGAATGTATAGTAACTGTGTAATGGAGACTCTCATATTCAGATGTGAGGATACAACGCAGTATGCATCTCTACTTCCAGACAAAGATGGACTCCCAATGAAAGAGTTTACTATGTCTTGACAGTAGGATGCTGGACTTTGCCATTGACAATAGGATGCTGGCCACAATGATGGACATATGACTGTGTATGGGGAACATGCTAATTATATAAGGGAACTCAGTGAGGGGGGGAGGGAATTGGGGAGGGGATAAAGGAAGCTCCAGGGTCTATGGAACAGTATCATAAAATGATAATAATAAAAAGAAGTTAAAAAAGAAAGGTATCTTACTAATCTTGTTCTAATGAACACTCCATCATCCAGGTTTTTTGATGTCATCATTACAACAACCTAAAGAGAGGTTAAGAACATATGTAGCAAGCTATATTCAAAGAGCTATTTATTGGTAGAAGCGAGAGGTTCTGTGGATCCAGAGGTAACCCCAAGAAAGCATCAAAAGAAGATAGCATCTAAACGTTTCAGCCATCCGTGTCAATAAGAAGTTCATCACATCATCTTCCTGACAGATAATCAGCTTTTCCATATGAATTTTTTTTCTCCTCATCGAGGGTTAGCCTTAACAGCTGTTTTCCAGTGAATGTAATATAACAGAACTGCTGTGTGTTGGGAAATACGTTATAGCTTCCACCTGACTTTCTCTAGGAAGCTCACTTTTAGAATATAGCCACTATAATTTATGGAAGCACAAGCACATGTGGATTTTCCAAGTGATTGTCCCATTTAAGGACCATTTCAAGCCTCTTTGTCTGATTTGCAATCTTTTGGACAAACCTCTTTGTTGACTTCTCTGTCTGAATGCTGTCATGACTGACTAATATTTTTCCATTTATGTCATTCCTGTTGAAAGAAAGGGGGGGACCCTCATCCCCCAGAGAACTAATGTATATTGCAACCATCTGAAACTTTTAAATGCATCAATTTGATTTTGTCATATGTATAAAGATGGCAGGTTAGAATCTCAGGAAGCTAAGCAGCAGACCCAGCAACTGGATTCTAAAAATCCACTGGCCACAACAAGGAATTGGTTTCATTAACTAAGACACTGTGGTTAGCTGCTCACAGCATTTCCCCCTCCTGCTCTCCTTTTCCTGTTTGTTTCATGCTGAGTAAAGTGGGGAATCAAGCACCACTCTCCAGAATATTCAATAAGTAAACAGGAGGTAGAGCAAAGTTCCACAGAATCTTACCTTGTTCAATGGGATCATTGCCTTGTCTCCTAGTGGAAACTAGGTTAGCTGAGTGTGTGGCAAAGGAGGCAGAGATTTTTCTCGTGCATCACTAGGGCTAAGGTAGCTGTCTGATCTCCTGGGAATGGGCCAAACTGGGGACTCTGTGTTCACCTCTGGCACTGGCAGACAAGGCACTTGGCAGGGCCTGTAACCAGAACAGCTTTGGTGAAAGTCTCTCCACCAGGATTCCACTCATGTCCTCTGTCCCTGTTGGCATGGAGACTTTATTATCTCACTGGGCAATGACAGGAACTGCTACCCACAGAACACTTCATCCTGCTCAGATTTTTTTTTTTTTTGCTATAGAACAGTACATAATTATATTTCAATACATAAGTTCTGTGCAACTAGAAAGAATATATCACAATATATTCAGAAAAATAGAAAAATGTGGTACTTCCTTTGCAATGTGTGACAAAATGTTAACATAAAAATAAATAAACTTTCAGAAACCAAAACAGAGACTACTATTACAAGGGGAGTAAGAAAAAAAAATAAAAAGATGAGTTGGATATGAATGTTCTGGGAATCACCATCCCTACATCCTTCATGAACTTGATGGTGCATTAACCTCTCCAATTCTTCTGGAAAGGTAGAATTTTACTAGGTAGAGGTACTTACAGAGGCCTCCACTTTGACCCTTCAAAATGACACTCTATACCAGGGAATCAGTGAGAAAATTTCTCTAGTTGTTGGCTATCTCAATTATGTATTCAGGAACTGGGGAAGTAACCATAGGAAGGATACAGAATTACTGTGAGACAGACCTGTGCTAAAATACTGTTTATCACCTTACATGTGTAATTTCCTACCCTGGAACACAAGTGACGTTTTGAGTCTGTTAGAATTACAGAAGCAATGTTCAGTAATCCTTGAAAATTCAGATTATTTCCTGTTTATGAAAGCCATCATTCTAGTAAAACGGCATATATCCCTTTGAGGAAGGCCAGAAGACTACCAGTGTCAAGTTTTATAGTTTAGCAAGGATCTTCCTCAATGAGAATATTCTCCCTGTGATTCAGAGTTTTGGGACTGAAAACTGACTCAAGGCTTTCTGATCTGGTAATTTAAGTTATGCTTCCTTTTGCTTGAACTAAAACTCTACTGCAAATGTAGGTCATGTAAGAACTCACATAAGCATCTGTTTCAGCTTTGTGATCATCATCAGCAACCCATCAACAACAAAGATATATTTCAGTTGCCACTTTGCTGTCCATCACTCTAACCACACCCACCATGCCTTTGATGGTGCAGTGTCATCACTTGGGCCCTGCTACTGTGGGATCAATGATTCCCATTATATATAAAGATTCCAGTTCAATGCCGGCAGCATTTTCCACTGTGACTTCTTACCTACGGAGAAGAGTGCCCCATGAGGCTGGGGCCCATATTCATTTCTCAAAGTTGTGAGACAGTGTATGCCTGCTGGGACTCCCAGGGTGAGTCAGGTCATCTTACATGATAAATCCACTCTGGTATCCAAGATTCCCTCCGTCTTTGAATTCCTTCTCAGATCAATTTCATGATCTGTGCTTTTTAGTCAACCATTCAGCCAGTATCCCTGCTCAATGATCTCCATCAATAAATTCAGACCGGTCCCACAGTATGTAGTCCTGCCTCCACAACCCACAGTCTTGACAATATGCGTACTCACCATATCCATTCTCACCCACAAAATGTGGCTTTTGAAGCACATCTGTGTTATTTTCACCCTGAAGGTCTTCATCTCTCACAAAGCCTTGACACTCCTCCCAGAGTTCACATGATCCCTCCTGCTCCTGTAGTCTTTCTGACCCTTGTCAGTGTACTGCAAACTTCTGTGACACATTCCCCTACCCCCAGTGCCAAGCCACTAGCACTTGTCCTATTCTTTGGCACACTGCTAGTTTTACAGGCATCTGTTTATTTTCCCAACAGTGGTGAGCTACTTAATGACAAGAACCCTTGCTTGCCTTGTTTTGTAGCAGATCCCTACATGGAGGGATGCTCCAGTAGCTTTCTTGAATAAGCCAGAGAAACTGAACAGACAAGTCTACAGCCTGGATGCTTGGATTGGACCTGGAGGCTTGCAACAAACAGCAGCCTGCCTGATGCTGTCAGACTATTTTGAAAACTGGAGTTCCTTTTTCTGAACAACTGTTCTCACCCTTATGTATCAATGCCATCTGTCACCTTCTCCACTCGGCCTTACTTCACTTGGTGTAAGTCCCCTCAATCCCACCCTCACATTCTGGTCATTTTCCAACTCTGGGCATCTGGGAGAAACCTTGCTGTGTCTTTTTCCTGAAGGCCTCGGAGTCTTTCCTGCCTGCATCCTACTTTGTCCTGTTTTTGCCCAGAAGTCGGGATTAATAGCAAACTTGTCCAAGTCTTGAGGTCGCAGGCACCCGACTGCGAGAGCCTGCCGGCAGTGCCTACCCTAGCCGCGGGACTGCTGGTGTGTTTGAGTCCGCGTTTGTTTGTGACCCAGCTGCAGAGGAAACCGCCGGCCAGGGCAACGAGAAGGAAGGAGCCTCCCTCTAACGCCCTCAGCCCCCTCCCCACTTCCCGTCCAGCGCGCGGCTCCCTCCCAGGCAGACGCCGTTTGACTGCGGGCCAGGGACTGGAGGCGGCCGAGGCAGAATCGGAGGAATTGGCGGCAGGGCGCATGTTGCGCCAGGGTCCCCAGGGCGCCCCGGCGGGCAGCGGCGGCGGGGACCACGGCGCAGGTAGGCAAGCTGCCACCACAGCCTGGCTGGGATCCTGGAAAGTCTGGGCCGGAAGTGAGCGATCTGTCCCCTGTCCCCCAGGAAGTCTTGTTAGTTGGGGCGCGGCTGAGTTCGCAGCTTGGGTTCAGGGCGCGTGACGCACGGGGCTGAAAGGAGAGCATACTGGACTGTCAGCTCTGTGCTGGGTCGGCCGGGTCCCACCACAAGACTGTGCCGCGATGCAGGCTGTCGGGATTCTGCAAAACAGCCCGCTGCAGACCCATGCCCACGGCGGGTCCAGGCGGCCGCGGAGGGCTGTAGGGGCGTGCTTTGAGTTGGGCTGTGTCCTGGGACACTCGGACTTACCGCAGGACAGGGGACGTCGGGCACTCCTTCGCCCCAAGACCCGTTGAGACTAGGAGGGCGGAGGTTAACAGTGGGGTAGGGAG